AAAAGTTCAAAACATGAAAAGTGTAATGGGATGGTTGTGTCAATTGCATTCTGTTCGATGTTACGCTCCCATTCCAACTTTTACTCCATTCTGACTTATTCTAGTGTGTACAAGAAAGAAAGGGAAAGTAAATAACACTTACTTTTTCATCGATTTGTTTGGTTTACTGGAAAATTTTAAATAGAAACAAGAATCCTAATTTGTACAAGTTTGTAGCAAATGCTGAACAAAATTTGAGGAAAATATGTAAGTGATTTTTATAGCCTTTTTGTTGTATTTAACTACCTTGCTTTTCGCTTTTGTGGCTCCCATCATGTGAGGGAGTGTGCTATAAGTTCGAGAAAAAGACTGAATTTCAAAGTATGTTATTCAAAAATATAATTACTATGGTGTTGGTATTTTCCAATTGTAGTTTTTGATTAAAAGGTAGGATCTAGGCACATCGTAGTCTTCAGCATACACTACGAGACTATGGTCTTTTGGCTTGGAGGCTAAAGATGGAGGTTTCACCATGGTGTTACATCTGCGCAGGTCATGCTGCCTTTGGCTAGTCCTACACTTCTATTGAGAGAGAGGGAGAGAGATCTTGCCACGTATACCGCCTCATATCAAAATGTCTTAGCGAGTTATCTAACTTCCCTTGAAAATTGAACGATTTATGCCCATGTGCTCACCTTTTATAAATATAAGGTAGTACCATCCTACATGACAAATTAGAACACATGTCAGGTTGAGCTTTGTACTTGTGCTCTATGAACAATTTGAATTCGGGGTGCATGGAAACTTACATGTTGTAGACTCATACGTTTTTTTTTTTTTTTTTATGAAAGCATAGCATGCATATTGCTTGATTGCTTCCCTTTGGCATACTAGCGGGTATTGGTTGGAAGTTGGAACTTTTGGTTTGTTAATTATACAATTACTGGGTAGTTACTACTCACTAGTTAGTATTAGTCATGCTTATGGATCAGTTAAGTTTTAATGTGAATTACCTAGTTTTCGTCCTTGTCAATTCCAGGTGCTTTCCTTGAATGTGAAATATCATTATGCCAGATTTATTTTTAAAAGTCTATTTTGTGGAATGAAGGTTGAATAGTGCAATGACATGACACTTTGTTATTGATTTTATTTTTCTCTAATATTCATTTGTAGGTACTACTACTAATTAATGATTCATACCTTTGCACTCTTGACCCATAGTACTTTTCATGAAGTTGAATATCAATTGCTTTATATTCATTTTGGTGTTATGTACATTTTTGTTTCTATACTTCTTCCACCTATTTTCATGAAAGTCACAAATAAGGAAAAAGAGGAACAAAATTATGATACATGATTTAATGCGATTTCTGACACATGCCAATATGCCATAGGACGTGTGAAGCTCATAAATTTTACCTGTAACATGTATGCATGCACTAGGATATTCTGGTTCCATTTTGCTTTATGGGTGTCTAAGTTATATCTGGTGCTGACTTTTGTTGGTCTTTTGTTTTCTTTATCAGGTTTAGATGGATTTGGAGACGGAAAACAGGATAGCTGCAATTCTTATGAAAGAGGCAGCAGAATTGCGGCGACAAGCTGAGGAGGGTGGTGTGCATGTTTATCTTAGGCAGCCCAATGTTAGGGGTCAGCCGAATTCACGTTTTCCTCACAGCAACTGTTCTTGGTGTACAACAGGGTTAGTTCTGTAGTTGTTTAAGTATAAAAAAAATTATAGTGTGATTCGATACTTATGAAGAGTGTATGTGTAATTTAACATTACTATATCTATATAGTTCTGATGCGCACCAGTTTGGTGCCCCCTTCAGCCAACCTAATTTGCATTTTTGAGGTTTGGAATTAATATTTTATGTTTCTTATTAAATGAAATGGATTTAAGAATATTTAAGACTTATTAGGGTGGTTTGGGGTTTGCTTATTTAGTATATCACTCGCCGTTATTCAGTTAAATTTGTATGTACTAGTGTGCTTTGAAAGTAAAAGAAAGTTATATCTGTAAGAGGGGTTAACTTGAGCCCATTAAATTAATTGGGCCCAATCGGAAAGCCCAAAAATTGGTAGGCTCGGAGAAATTATCGCCAAGTAGGCCTAAGTAAATTCTATTGAGCAGACCCACAAAAAAGTCAAGAAATTGGGCCGAGGAGGACCCATCAAGCATATATCTCTAAAGAGAGCCCAACAAGTCCATTTGAGGAGACTCAGATCATAGGTGTCCAAGGAGGTTAACCATTGCTTTCAAAAGAGATGAAACCCTTGGAGGAGATCCATTCTCCAAGGTATTTGCTTAGTCGCAAAAGGGTTCGGAACCACAAACCTAGAGACCTATTTAAGATCAGATTCGAAAGGGTTCAGATCCACGAACATAGAGATTCGAAGCATTTGGCTTCGAACAGATTCGATCGCAATCTAGAAGCCGCTCCATTAATGAATCCCATAACACTTGTGAGTTCGGAGCTTTTCGGGATCTATGCACCATAACCATGGGCGTGACAAAGTCCGAACAAAGGACCCGATCCTGAGGATGATGAATGAAGATAAATTCACTCTTTGGTTAAATTAGTCTATACCTGGGTCGAGGTGGCATGATCTATGGGGTCCTTAAGACTTGGCGATATTTGCGGCAAGGCGTTCTCTTGAACTACCTCTGACCCTTCTATGGGAGGGTGTCCTCTAGGATTACCCCTAACCCCTTTGGGATGATTGGGGATCATTAATTAGGCGTGGCTAAGAAGAAGGGTTCACCGTGAGGTTGATCTCCTTTTCAGGATTTTTCTCATCCTTGGAGAGGTCACCTCCTCGGACGAAGTATCTAGAGAGAATATTCCAGCCTACATCTTGAGTTGCCTATATATAGAGTACCCACCCATAGTTTTAGAGAAGAGGATTTTGGAGAGATAATTCTTAGAGAAAACTAATCTGCATTCTCCATTATATATCTTGGGAATGAAAGTGGGAGATCCATGGGAGAGCCTTGCCATTATGCTCAATCTAACTACTTTGCCTTCTTCACCCAATCTCTTGTCTCCATCATCTCTTTGTTATTGTGTTTTGCAACTATTGAAGAATCTAAGCCTCACCACTCATTTCTAGAGAATTTGAATTCTTCGGTGATCTTTGAATATTCCGGCGACTTTCTCGGACCCTCACATACAATATCATTGGTCTGTCATAAGTTGGGGTCACCATACAAGAACAGTAGTAAGGTTTCACACCCAATTCCCATTTGTAGCATTGCTACGGTTTTGTTTGATGTGTAGAGCATTATGAAACTTTGCTAACATAGCTTAATATATAATGATCAAACTCATTCGATTATTACAGAAAACTAAACCTCTTGCTACTTATTTTGTTGTGTTATAATTGTATTCATTATTTTTCGATTCAGTAAGAAATCAATGTTCAGATATATGGTTATTGTCCCTATTGTTTCCCCAGAACTTAAGCTTGCAACAACTTTTTGCCAAGTAGATCAAACAGTAGTTGATTAGTTGAAAATGAACTTTGAAGAAATTTAAGCCACAACCTTGTTCGTCCTTCCTATTACCGGATCAAATAGAGAGTTGTGCAAGCCTAACATAATTGCTGAGAAAATTTTAGCCAAAGGATACCTAAAATTAGTTGAGTTAGGTCCTAAAGGCAAGCAACTAAGTCATTACACTAATGTGACTACTGATATTGACATGTATTAACATGCATGTAAGATTTTGATGCAAACACATAGGAGAGACCATTCTGTAGAGCAGTTTCACCACTAATAGTTACCAATTCTCGTCTTGTGCTTCTTTGAAAGAGACCAATCTTAATTGTTTGAATTAAAGATTGATGTTTGTTTGCTCCTCCATATGATTAACGATAACGGTTCCTTTATTATGCCTTTCCGGCATCAAGTCAGAAAATAATAATACAACTTAAAAAAAAAAAAAACCAAACAAAGAATAATTGTCACGCCCCAAAGCCAACCAAGCTAGGCACGTGACAATATAGCACACCTATAAGACTGACTTCACCCTTGTGAGCATGCAAAGATGGTGAGAAACCCAATTCAATTTCATTCCACAATAATCATTGCAATCAGGAGATAAAACCACATCAGTAATTTTTTTGTATCAACAATACCAAAAGTCTCAACAACAATACACAAATTCAGTTTAGGCAGAGTCCACTACTTAGAGCATGCTAAACCAAGAGTTCTACAATCTCAATATTCATATGGATCTATAATAACTTGTAGCCCTCTATCCCAATAATCACTTCCACCTAAGGTTCTGAAAAGCGGTTGTGGTCGCTGTAACGATGGCGCGGTTGCTGTCACGCCCCGACAATTTAATTAATCGGAAACATTACCAAAGCCTGTAATTTAGGTCCATTATATATATATATATATATATATATATCTATTACACTTGAGTAATAGAAACATAATAGTTCTCACTCTCAACGAATGCAACAACAATAATACATGCCAAGCTTCTGCTGCGAAGCTACAAATAAATAATTACAAACCACAAGATACATTTTTCATTCCCTTAACTATGATAAAATTTATAAAAAAAAAGGTACATGGAATCCATACTCTTCAACTAATGAATCTGAAATTCTCTTCCTAAAAAAGAATAAAACAATGAGGGGTGAGCACAAATGTCCAGTAGGAATCTCATAGTTCTACAACAATAGCTAACACATAGATAGAAGTGATCATGCATGTAGAGTAATACCATATAGTAAGGTGACATTTTGTAAGTTCAAAATATTATACGAAATGTATCTTTGCTTAAAATTTCACTTGGACCTTTAAGAAAACTCCCTGCCATAAATATAGTCTCTCATCATTAGGAAACCATAAATTTTCTTTGAAAACAAGTACACTTAAGGAAGAACATCATCTTAAATTCAATAACCCAATTCCAAATTATTCCTCATTTCGTTTCCATTTTAATATTCCACATTTCATTTCCATTCTAATATTTCACATTTCATAACCTCAAAATCCAAAGGATTAGAATTCAAACATAACACAAGAATCACAACCCTTTTTAATTCAATTTCCCATTTACTTACAAAACAAAGCTCATAATCTTCCCTTTTGTCACAAGCAATCCATTGAGTTCATCATCACTAGCCCCTAATCCAATTACCCACATGATGCCAATTTCAATCCTTAATCCATTTTCCTTCAGTTCATTTTCAGTTCATTTATTCTTCTTAATTCATGAGTCAATTTCATTATTTCACAACAACCAAACTGAGACTACAACTCAGTGGTTTTCCCAATCATACAAAATGCACATAAACACTTCAAACTGCCATTTTACAGAAATTTCGTCTGCGGGATCGATACCCATGTATAAATTTCGGGATTTTCACCAAGGACACTCTGGCCAACTTAGTTATAATGGAGTCAATCCCCTTTCTCCTCCCAAACAAACATACATATACAATGTATTTAATCACATAATCACACATGGGGTACATCCCCTTTCTCCTCCCAAACAATCATACATATACAATGTGTACGGGAAAGAAATAAACCTTCTTGTATAATCCTGTTGATCAAGTCTGCGCTTCTCTGTACGTCGTCGCTTTATCACCTGAAAACACAAACGTGAGCTAGCCGGCGGGTGTGTGCCGGAAACCTCTCCGATGCCTAAGTCAGTAAGCTTGACAAATAGACAAAAGCTCTGTGTATTCAGAAAGCAAAGTTGTGTGTTACCTCTCCAAAGGTGATGTTTGTGAGCTCTTATAGATTTTGTGTGGCACAATCCTAGTAGGACTTTTACTTTTCCATGCAGAGTCCTCCTAGGATTCATACTCCTGAAAAGATAATGCTTATCCTTTAACACCCCCCTCACTGCTTAAACCAAGTGAGATGGTTTTTACAATGGCCGAACTCTAACATGACCGAAGTAAACATGACTCTGCATAGCTGCAGAATAAGCCGAACTAGCTCTTCCTTTTACTGCTCTTACGTCGGCTTCTCATGCACAACCCATGGCGTCATGACCGGTGTAACTCCAAGACCGGTCTAACTCCAAAGTACCGTTAGACCGATCTAACTTCGATCTTCTGTCGGACCGGACTAGCTTCACGGCCTTAGGACCGGACTAACTTCAAAATATCCACACGACCAGAGTAACTTACATGGCCATTTTACTCGGCCCTTTGTACTGCGGCTCATAACGGCCCATTACCCAGCTCGGCCCAATTTTCACATAAATTACCTTCTCAATTGCCCCTTAATTCCATCTGCCTAGCATGTTTGGGATTATCTGTCAACCAGCCGAGCTATAAACTCTCAACCTTTCCAACCTAGCTATAGATTTTTAGCCTATCCAGCCGGGCTACTTTCACACCGAGCTCTAGCTGTCCGGTAGTAACGTCTCTTCAATCACAGAGACTGAAACGCTTCCCATTCTAATGGCACGTGGCATGCTCTGATCGACTGAGGATGGCTGTCACGCCGTCTTCATACTTCGTGAAATTTGAACAGTCCCGCCTTTTTCCCTTTACCTAAAACGAGTCTCTTCATTTTGACACACTTTGCAACTTTTCCCTCTCTAAGCCTCCATTGCTTCTTCAACTTTTGAGCTCGTGTTCTCCATAGCTGTTATTCTCTCTCCAGCTCTTGCCTTTTCATCGGGTAAGCACTGTACATCTACTTTGTTTTCGTATTTTGTTTTCTGTGTTTTTACAAAACATATTTTTCTGTTTTGCTTTGCTCTGTACTTTTCTGGAAAAAACTTAGCAATAGAACACATGAGTACATGTAATATCCTGTAAAAAACTGGTTTTTGATCCAAAATCATGATGCAACC